TAAGTTTTACCAATGACAAAAACATCAGTATCTACAGTTCTGATTATGACTTTTTTGAGTCCACTATTTATAGCATTATCATATGCGTGAAGAAATGTACAAGTGTCTGCTTCTTAATGTTTGCAAGGCTCAAGATTGAATTTGCTGATATTTTGAGCCATCACTGAGCCCTCGTGACATCACGTGACATATTTGAGCCATCACTGAGCCCTCGTAGGTCATAACAATCAATCTATCTGTTTGATGATGAGATACTTGGATTGAAAAAAACTTAAATAATTTGTTTTTGTTCTGATCGACGCAAAAAAATGACTGCCAATTAATTGAAATCTTTAATTCGGGCAACACACGACAAGGAATACCTAGTCTTCTTTTGATTCTTGCTGATTCTTTAAGGCTGTTCTCTGTGTAAACATCCTAAATAGTATCATTTTTTGCATACAATTATAACTGTTCCAAAATAAATTTCTGGAATATATTGGTTAAATAATTTTCAAAAGTTTCACAATTCTTGGGTGATAAAATATTTACAACTGAAGCTCTATTACTAATCAAACATTCAACTTTGAGTTTGTCTTTAAGTGCGCTGTGAAAATCATTAAAATATGTTAAAAAATTTGATTTATTTCCACTGCATAACGGTCCATCTTTTGAAAGAGACAATAGAAAAGTGTGGACGTCATGACCAAAAAATTCTTTTTTTTTTTGCAACTGTAAATAACCTGCCATCTTGGATCTGGCAGGATATTTACAGTTGCAAAAAAAATGGCAGTTCTTTTTAAGTACAGATATTTGCGATTGATCGTTTAACTTCCGTTTTGTATCGATGTAAATAAAGAATAGTAGCTTATTTTGTTTTATTGGATTGAAAACAGGTTTAACTCAGGTCCTCAAATCATCCAGCAAAATAGTTCTTGGAAATCTTCCGTCAATCCAATTGCTCCGTAATAAAGTTTAAAATATTTTGTTTTTAATTCAAGGGTGTTTTGTTTATAAATAAGAAAAAATTATTACCAAATTAACTTTAATCAATTTCATACTTTCAGATAAGCTTCTTAAATGGAAATTTTATTGTTGTTGTAATAATAAAAAAAAACCTCCTTCTCCTTTGATGCATTTGTTATTTTGCTCATGTGCATAGTCTAACCAATTGAAGAAAACTTTTTTTTGTTTTGTTTACAACAAACATGCCCTTCTGAAATAATCTTGCAATTTCTGGGTTTGTTTTTTTCCAGTTAAATCATATCTGCTGAATGTACGGATAACAAGCGCGAGTAATGCTTATGGTCCAGTAAAAAAAACCGAGTAAGCAGTTATCGAATGTACTGTCAATACAAATCAAGATTTCTAGTCTTTATTGATCGTACAAAAGCTAATATAACCAGCTCAAATCTGAGTGTTATTGACCAAACTCTAAAGTGGGGATAAATCTGTTCACAATCTTCTCTCCAATCATCAAAAAGTTTTTCACATCTTTCATTTCGAAACACGTAGTCTTGATGAGCATGTTTCATTAGAATATGAAGAGCAGCAGCAGCAGTTTTAATTTTAAAGCAGTTTGAGCACGGAATTACGGAATTACGGAATTACGGAATTACGGAATACTTTTTTTACTCAGAGCGAATAGTTTTTACTTAGAGAAAATAGCTTTAGAATAGAGTTAAAATAGCTTTCCTTTTCGGGTCTTAAAGCTCAAAACTGGTCGAATCTCAGTGTATAAATCAGGAAGGTTAGCTAACTAATTTTTTTTTCAGAAAACTCTACAGTAGAAATTTCAGGATCTAATAAAACTTACCTAATATTTGATGCTGGAATAATGATATTTGTGTTCCGTAAAAAGAGTTTTCAGCTGTTGTGGAACTTGAATTGTGGTATATATTATCAAAGCAGCAGTTGTGAAAACGTTAGGATTCAAGCGCGGTGGGGAAACCAATTTTGTTTTCTGCAAACTAGTTGGCAAATCAACTTATTTTCTGCGCAGTAAATTCTATTACCCATTTGTGTTGACGATTTCATTACCCGGCGACAAGATATTGATATCATAAGTTTTTAAAGTTTATCAACAAGTGTCTTTTTGCAAGTTTTCTTTTGAATCATTATGCTTACATAAATAGCTATGGGACTTTCTCAAGATTTTTGTCTTTTTTTGATTTTGTTGACTTTGACAAACACGTTCTATGCTACTGTGAATTATCATTTGACTGATTGTTAAAGTTGTTTGTTCTAAATTTTGACAACATTTATTACTTTTATTCTCATGTAAAACCGAATCAACAGATGACTTTAAAAATGCTGGAAAATGCCGTTTGAAAAATAACCGTTGAAGTCATAACTTTGATTTGCGAGAATATCTCGCAGCAAGATTTTATCTGCTTCAGATAATATGAAAGATTTGTCTTCATAATTCTTTTCATAACAATTCTTCAAATTCTGACATTTTCTTCAAATGTTAAGTAAGAAAACTTTTTGTCACTCCTTTAGATTTTCTACAACCGCCTACAATATTTGCTTTAGTTTTGTTGTATGGATTCTTTGAGAAATGTTTTCACCAAGGTCGGTAATCTTTTTTTGATATATTTCAGCTAGGTTAATTAATTTAAAGACACAGTTATCTTCATACTTCTTCAAATTTTTTTCATATCTAGATCTAGAATCGTGGTTTTTTCTTTTAAGATTCTCTGGACAATTTAAACTCTCAGTGATCTTCACTTGACAATACAAACTAAAGTTCCAGTCAATTAAAGAAAGTTAAAATAAATTTTAGCCATTTTTACTTTCAATATTTTTCTATTTTAAATTATATAAACCTATTAAATTTTCTCCTTAACTGATTAAAATTACATACAAAATAAATCATAGAAAAAAATCACTTTTATTTCTATTACTTCTTACATGTTTTTTTAACCAACTGTCATGTCAAATCCGGAATTTTGTATCTATACAAAAAAATTTAAAATTAAAACGAAAAAAAGCCTGCAAACCACCTACAATCAGTCTCATGTGATTAATAGAACAATTAAATTAAAAAGCAAAATCTCTTTTCGTATTCCAAACGTGTAATTAAGAAATTATTCAATTTTTTTAAAAATTTCAATAAATTTAATTTATTTTCGCACGGAATACTTAATACCTATTTTACCCCCTGGATTTATTGCGATTCTAGCCCCTAAATTTGCGAGGCGCCGGGGCTATAGCCCCCTTAGCCCCCTCTTTGATCCAGAACTGACCTAATTAACATGTTCATCAAGTTTCATGCTTTTACCCTAAATAGCACAAAGTTTACACCAATTGACTGTACTAAAAAGAAAATTAAAAAAAAAAAAATTTAAAAAAATTTAAAACGAAGATTTTCTATTTTCACATTTAATACAAAGTATTATGACAAAACATAAAAATAAACTTGTTAGTTTTAATTAATTATATATTCTAGTTACACAATTATTGGCTTTATTTTGAAGATGTTCATTTTTAGAAGCTCCTTGTTATAAGAAGAAAAAAAATTGTATTTAAAGCGCTTTTTACGTAAGGAAAAGACGCCAATGATGGCATACTTAACTTTGATTATTCATTATTCAGTATCCTGAAGACCAATAACAAAAATTTTGATATGGATCATTCCTTGTTACATGTAAAACAATAATAACCCTTGGAGTTTTCACCAGTTTTGTTTTTTTTATAATTTATTACTATTTTTAAGAAAAGCACAAGTATGCCATCAGAGGTAATCACTGCTCCTATGATAGCATAGTTGAGGATGAGGTTAGGATCAAGGGTAACTTTATCATTTCATTTAACCTTGGAGTCTTCCCTCAGAAAATCTAGAAATTACTAGGAATCATTCTAATTTACCATTACATGCTACACAGCAGCATTTTAATTTTTCGCGCATGCGCATAGGATATATTGCGTTTTATGTATTTTTTGGACCAAAAAAAAAAAACTTTTGAATCGTCGCTTTCTTTTTACTTTAATTAAAAATAAGTTTCTTATAAAAAAATGGTTGCCCCAGCTCGTCAATATTGCAACATACCCAACTTCTCAAGATATTATTATTTCTTTAAGTAAGTAAATTCAAGTATTTTTTTGCAGTAAAGATTGCTTCAATTATAACTAATAGGAATGTTCCGACAATTTGACAAAAAACAATACGAAACCAGTCAAAAAAGTGATTAGAATTAAACCATCCTGAGTTTGATTGTATTTTTGCTTGTATATACATTAGGTGGTCCACTTTGGTTCTTGTTGTGCATAAATGGTCAGCTTTATAAATATAACCAGAGGAAATTCGACCAGAAGCACTAAACATGATTGACGTAACATAACGTGTTGTACAATTGCCATATTTTTCATATTTAAAAAAACTTTGGATTTTCCATGTGTTTTCGGATTAGGCCTTTAAACTTTATTATACAAAGTGGCAACATCCCCCAATGAACATCTATTACTGTTTTTATCTAATAATGTTTATTGTTACCATAAAATTTGATAAACTGGCACTTAGTATAATTTATATACTGCCTAATATCAATATTTTAAAATAATTTTTTAACTAATTTTTTTGATAACGATAATTTTAATAATTACTTCAGAATGTTGTTTACATCTCAATTAAAATTTAGTTTATGTAGGTTACTTAGTTTTCAGAAAAATTTGATATTATAAATAAGCTAGAGTTTATTGCTTTAGGCATCCAAATTTTCTCGAAAAATTTATAATTGAAAATAATATTAGAATAATATTTTGTTTAAAAAAAGGTGTATTAAGTTAATATTATTTAGACTTATGGAATCAAAGCCTCAATCGTGAATAAATATTTTAACTTCAAATTTTTAGGCATAAAAATCCATTTGAATTATTGTGTATTTTTTTGTTGCAGTTTTTAAAATTTTGAAATTTAAACGATTTTTTTTTTTAAATTTCAGTTTTCATCTATTGTTTTCTTTGTTTGAGCTACAAAAACGACATATTTAACATTTATTTATTTATTTATTTATTTATAGTCAAGTTTTTATAACATTTCCTAAAAAAAGATTCGCAGCCGAAGAAAACCTGACATGTTGTTGTCCATATAGTTAAAAGATGTGGTGGTTTATTTTAATTTTTGTAAGTACAATTTATATTTTAAAAATGTATAGTTTTAATAATAAGAATTAGAATAAATTTATTGAAGATTTTGTTTAATAAATTGTATATACAGGGCCGTCTTTTTTTTACGCTATTGTGATCTAAATAAAAAAAAAAGGTCCTCGTTGCCCAATGTTTGCCGACTACCAATGATAGATTTATTTTTGCCGACTCCAGCGTCCCATTTTCCAACTATTATTTCCAAATATTGTGGGGTACCTAGACATCCCTATGCCTCCCTCAGGATGTTTTTGTGTATATTGGTTATTATACTATTAAACTTGTTTTCCGATATTTCCCTGTGTAACACCTTCCCGTTAGATAAACTTTGGAAATAAAAATGTTGAAAATGTAATAAAACTTAATATGATTTAATGAAATTTAAAATATGAAAATAATTTTGAACTTCTTTAACAAAAAAATTTTTTTATCAAAATACTTCTATGAAAAACTTTTTCACCTGGAAATCGACAAAATTGCTGTTATTGTTTAAAGCAGCCATATGGCAGTGGTTAAAGCTCCGACTCGAAACCAACAGGTTTGAGGTTTAATATTATCCCTGGTTAGATTTTCAGTAATGTCAATGAGAAGGCGTGCGTGTCTTGGTTAAATGCTTTTCCACGGTGCTTCAAGGTAAACTCGTAAGGTCTGCTTTGATCACTTTAGCAACCATAAAGAAATTGCTGGTATTTTTTTTTGTGCCTTTTATCTTTAATTGATAGCATAAATATATTTTTTTAAACATTTTAAAATATAAATGGCTTTTATTATTTTCTGTATTACAAATTATAAAAGGAATGACATATAAAGATACTTTAATAATACCCTGTGTAAATATATAGCAGTTGAAAGCCATTTGGTTTTGCACTGATATATTCTAAGAAAAAGGTTAAACCCCGAAGCTGTTGAACAAGCAGTTTACTAAAAAATAACTGGAAAAGTAAAGCTTTAATAAAAACCTTCAATTAAAATAGATTAAAGTACCATTGAGCCATTGAGTATAATAACATTCCTCTCTTTACCATTAATAACATTTCACTTTTAACTTATGTGTGATTTTACCGGGATCAGCCTAAAGTAGCTCTTCATCACTTTTTTCTGCTGAAAGTCTCGATGATATTTTTTGACTTAATTAGCAACCATTTGCATATATCGACAATTGGCTTCATATGGTAAATATAAACGATCGGCTAATGGTGGATTTATATTTATAAATAAAATAAGTTACATACCTTTACTCTATACTTATTATAACTGTAAGCAAATTAAATTGCAATTACCTACTAAAATATATAGGATCTTGAACATTTAAGTTTTTCACATGCACACATATAAATATATATATATATATATATATATATATATATATATATATATATATATATATATATATATATATATATATATATATATATAATTTAATTAATAAAATTAATTAATAAAATTAATTAATTAATTGCCACCATATATATATATATATATATGGTGGCAATTAATTAATTAATTAGTGCCGATTAACAGGGTTGCAAATGCTATCCTCCAAAAGGGCCTTACAATTTGTCAGGTCTCAGTTTTTTTTACAGCAAATCAAAGAATAAAACTTATTCTTTCGTTTATTAGTTCAAAAGACACCAACCCTGTGGACAATAGGAACTCAGAACAATATCGAATGATGTCGGGTTTTCGTTGGAGATCGAATAAATGGACAACGCCTTAAAAAAATGCGTCGTTGGATTTTTTTCTTTTTCTTGGCGTCTTTTCTGGAGACGCCCATGTTCCTCAACAACAATTTTCCCAAGAGCATACTGCAATAAATTTTAAACCTTTAACATTGGCAGACATTGGTAGACAGAGGCGCCTAATTTGTTTCTGCGCGGAGAAGGTTTTAGGTTCATATTTCAAAGTTAAAAGTTGAGAGTTAAAAACAATGACATCACTCTTAATCATAATGACATAATCATTTCTTATATCATTTCTTGTGATCTCTATCTTGTCAAAAGCTCTTTGTTCAGAGATTAGATAAACATTCTCTGCTGATAATTGCTGTTCAAAAGCCTGTTTTTTTGCTTTTTAAAAATAACCATATAAATGGTCTTTGGTTCTATCTCTGAATATTCTTTTAACTTTGTCTGATTAATTTTATTAATTTTGCCCTTGACTAAAAGTATCTTTTGCCTCTTCTACTTTTAATATATCATTAAGAATGAGCTGACTGACTGACATTTTTCTAGCTTAATATTGACAGCTGCCAAGTTTTTAGCAAAAATACGAAAGCCTAAAAACGTCAAGATTAACTTTCCATGGAGCAAAACGGAACATTCAAGTATTGTCGATTAATCAGAATAATTGGTATTAATGTGTTAAAAGAAAAAGTTATTCTTAAATAAACTTCACGTAAATAAACTCATTAAAGATGTTACAATAAGATTTTATAAAACTGAAATTGTTTTTGAGTATACAAAAAATGTTTAAAGTAAAGTCGTTCTTGATGTAAAGATCATTTGGGTTTTGCTCGTTTCTTGGTGTTTTTTGCAATGATAATTTCTAAAATTTAATAGCCGGATGATTATAAAGTTCAAAAGTTTTGTTCTGTTTTTCGCATAGACATTCTTCAAACTTTTTTTTAGCATTTAGATTATATATATATATATATATATATATATATAAATATATACATATATATATATATATATATATATATATATATATATATATATATATATATATATATATAAATATGTATATATATATATATATATATATATATATATATATATATATATATATATATATATATATATATATATATATATATATATATATATATATATATATATATATATATATATATATATATATATATATATATATATATATATATATATATATATATATGTATATATATATATATATATATATATATATATATATATATATATATATATATATATATATATATATATATATATATATATATATATATATATATATATATATATATATATATATATATATATATATATATATATATATATATATATATATATATGTATGTATATATATTATATATCAGGCGCGGATGCATCATTTTTTTTAAATATCTAACTTGCAGACATGGAGCAAACTCCAAAAATTTATATGTTTATACTTATATCAAATAAGGATGCTTTGCAAAAAAATAGCAGTGATTAGAGCCTGGGAACAAAAAAGCCCTAAAATCTTAGCTACACCTGCCCGAACGAGCAACAAGTTGATAAAATAATTTTTATAATATTCTTATAATCATCGATAAATTTTAAAACTCACACAATAACCAATTTAAACAAGTTAAAATGTATTCTACAAAAAGAGTGCTCAATGTTCTTAAAAGAACAGAGCAATTACAAATTAGTAGAAAATCACTTAGCAAAATTTTTTCTTATTTACACACACACACATATATATATATATATATATATATATATATATATATATATATATATATATATATATATATATATATAATATATATATATATATATATATATATATATATATATATATATATATATATATATATATACATATATATATATATATATACATATATATATATATATATATATATATATATATATATATATATATATATATATATATATATATATATATCTATATCTATATATATCTCTCTCTCTCTCTCTCTCTCTCTCTATATATATATATATATATATATATATATATATATATATATATATATATATATATATATATATATATATATATATATACATATATATATATATATATATATATATATATATATATATATATATATATATATATATTTATATATATATATATATATTTATATATATATATATATATATATATATATATATATATATATATATATATATATATATATATATATAGATTCATTTATACATTTTAATTATGTAAATAAAAAAGCCAAAAAAGACTAAAAAGCTTCAACATGTTCATGGATTTATTTCATGCATTCATTCAAAAGTATCATGATCCGCCCATGGAAGACTGGATTATGTGTTACAAATGTAAGTCGTGGTCCCACGAGAATTGCACAAGTTGTACAAGCACATCTAGAGGTTTCCTCTGTGGTTATTGCACTTTAATAATGGATGTAACAATTTATAAATAACATTTATGATATTTCATATTTCAATTATGTAACATTTTATCTGGATTAAATAAAATTTATTGATTTTTGTTTAACGTTTGATTTATTTAAAATTTTATTCAATAATATTTTAAAGCTTGAATTAAGTTTGATTTGATTTGATTTGCATTTTATTTGCTATTAGCTAATATTGTTTGTGATTACCCATCGGTATGTTCGGAATTACCCCACGTACGAATTGTATTTCCGAACACCGAAGGTTTTGTTTTTGATCGATTTTTTTTTTTTTTATAAGATATCTGAAAAATGCTTTTGAGTGTTTCTAACCGAATGGTTAGACTAAACAATAAGAAATAAATATCATTAATTTATAGTTATAATTGTCTTAAATTCGCATTCCCGCTTAGCTGTTTGCCTTTACCCCACTCTCCCCTAACATTACTTCTACCAAAATATTCTACCCCAACTTTTATCGGTTGCAGAGAAATTGTTATGTCATTCATAATCGCATATTCATCTTTGGAGATATTCAGAACTTATTTCAAATTGATCATTGCTTTTAGTTTTTTTAGTTTTCAAATTGATCATTGCTTTCAAATAGTTCATTGCATTTTTTAATTTAAGGAATCTTTCTAGCATTGAAACAAGACTATTCCATTTTGTTTTGACATTTAATATCAGCTTAAGGTCTTTATGAAACATTGATTTTACGTACATTTGTAAAACTTCATTTTTAAGAGGTGATTTGCGGAACATTCGAACCACTTTTTGAACTTTTTGATTGTTAAGGCTATATTTACGCTATTTTTTTTAATCATCAATAAACGTAACGCCTGTTGAGCTGTATGACTCATCATTACAGTCAAATACATCATCAAGCTCATCGTAATTAATCAAACTTTTATCGGAATCTTGAAAATGCGATTCAAATTCAGTATATATTTTGCTGAAGAGTCTGACTTTTTGTAAAGAACATCACATACTGCTTAATGAAGTCAGCTGGTGTTTAATACCACTTAGCCGTCTAATATTTTTTTATTACGGATGCTCCATCAGTGATACTAGCTATGATGTGATTTATGATTTTAATTGATAAACTGAAATCTGACAGTTTATTTTCAACTAGATCAACAAGTTATTTTGCACAAAGTGATCCAGCTATTGGAGTCATTCCCAGGTTCCAAACTTTGTTGATAAGTCTAAATTTACATTTAAACAATGTCGATTTAAAGACGTATATTCGTCTGACGATAAAGAAAATCACGATACGTTAGATTTCTTTAAACAGTTTGTTTAGCGAAATCATATTGTTTTTTATCATACCCATAACATGAGATGGATTTTTTTGTTAATAACATGCCTTTTTTAGACAATGATATACTAATGAATACAGTTTTTGTTATGGCATTTATTGAGAAACCATCCACCATAGCTAGCTTTGGCACAATTTCCTCAATAGTCTGCTGTTTAACAAACTGTGATTTTCTTTTGCACAATTTAAATTCCGAACCATATTTAAATTCACAATTTAAATTCCGTATCTTCATGTAGACGCTTCATGTTTAAATCCAAATCTTTATGTGCGTTTTTTAAATGATGTAGGAGCACACTTGCTGAAAATCTTTTGCACATTATCTTTACATTGCATGTTTTACAAATTGAAGATTTGCCAGATTTTTCTCTTCAAAAATACTGCCGAGCTTTCAATCCATTTACATTTGACATGGTATAACTAAACTGAATCGTTAAACAACTAAAAGAAAAGATACAAATATTTTTTACATATGTATGTATTTCATACATATGAATGTATGTTATCTTACGTATGACTGTAAATGTCTTTGTTTGCTGTTTTTTAAATACAAAGATTATTAAATATTTCAATAAATACAGAAAAAGTTTAACTTTATAATAATTTAGAAGTTTAAAAATCAAAATTATTGTTTTTGTTGCAACAAATCTTTTTTATTTTTTACTCATATTTTACAATAACGAGAAAAAAAATAAAATAGCATTGCAATGCATTCCTCGAGTTAGATAAAATAGTTTCAATAACATTTCTTGTTGTGCTAGGTTTTAATATAAAGTATGAACACATAAAGCGCAAATAAATGCAATAATATTTTTCTTATATTTTGTTGAATCAGTTCAAACAGTTATCATATTTGAAAATTAAAAAAAATTTATACTCCGGGATATGAGAGTGATATCCCAGGAAACCCCGCTGCCACTTTTATCCCTGATATCCCGTTTGAGAATTCCTAAAGTGGACACTGCATAGTATTTTTGTAATTAATTTTTTTTTGTAACTAATTTTCTTTGTTGTTGAGATTATTTGTAACATCAAATGATCGCTATAGACGTAAAATTCGGAGTCAGTTTTTTTTAAATACAATCAATAAATCATTATGTAGCTGGTGTTATTATTTAGTTTTAACTTTCAAAGTTAGGGGTCGTCCAAAAATAAAATTACATAATTTTTGACCGTTTTAGACCCTTCCAACCTCCCTCCCCCTCGTCACAACATCGTAACACTTTAGTAACAAGTTCAATATAAATTGTCACAGAACCACTAACCCCTCCCCTCCTCTAGCGTGACGTAATTTATGAACGTAATTTATGCACCTTTATTAAAGTTAATAAACATGCATAACCAGTAACGGATCCAGGATATTTTGGAGGTGGTGGTGGTGGGGGTAGGGATTTGTTGAGATATTTTTGTATTTTGCACCACATTTGCTTCTCTTGAGAAATAAAATTTCTTCTATAATGAGAAATTACCTTTATTATCTTTATTTTTTTTTCATACAAGTTAACCAAAGACGTTTTAAAAGATAATTTTAATTTATTAAAATGAAATTTGGCGTTACATTAAGGTTATTTTTCAAAACGCATCTCCCTAACTGAATCTGAAAATTCTAAAATATCTTTTCTAAGATATTTTAGAATTTTCAGATTCTGTTAGAGAGATGCGTTTTGAAAAATAACCGTTATGTAACGCCGAATTTCATTTTAATAGATTAAAATTATCTTTTAAAACGTCTTTGGTTAAATGTGTAACTTGTATGAAAAAAAAAGATAATAAAGGTAAATATCTGGTATAAAACAGGAAAACTAGTGTTATTTTTTAAAAAGTATAACTGGTATTTTTTGTACTGTATACGATAACATAAACCGAATAGTGTTTAGAACATTTTTGTATAAGTTAAGTTACTCAACGATTAATAGCACTTACCAGCAAACATCAAGCAAGCGGACCGACAACGGACCGCTGTCAGCACTTATGTCTTGCCGACGTCGGCCGCCCGCTTTGGCCGACTTCGCATATAATACCTTGTCCAATGCCAAAATGATAATACTGTCCTCCAGTTATATTGGTAACAGGTTTAAAAGACTTTGACGTAGAGTGCGTGGATCCTTTGGCAATTCAGGAAACAATTTACCCAAAATTTTTAACAAAGATGCTAATGCTTCATCGGTTATAGCAAACTTAACTGCCCACTGCATAAAATCATTTTTTAGTTCTTCATTGTTAACATCAACAATTGTTTCACAACCTGATGACTCTAATGGGTAAGATTCAGAATCAGAAATTGTTAGATTACTGTCAGAGTTCACTCACAATCAATATTATTTGCACCTGAAGGAATAGCACTCTCAGTTGAAAGTTTTTGATTTGATATACTCTTTAAATACAATGATTGTACTTCTTCTGGTGAATGTGAAATATTGCTTGATTTATTCGTAAGATTTTTTAGGCAATATTCAACATCAGCTAATATCTTTCGTCGTTTTGTCTAAAAGCTCACTATTGAAACTTACATAAATTGTTTAATTTACTAAAGCTGGTACATATTTAAAAATGTATATAATATATGTGTGTGTGTGTGTGTATATTTACATATATATAGTTAGTATTTTTAATTATGATCCTTATAAATATATATTGAACCTATATGTATATCTATACTTTATATCTATATCTATACTAAGTATAGGTATAGATATAATATGTAAGTATAGATATAGATATAGATATAAATATAAATTATAAATATAGATATAAATATAATATATTATAATATAATATAAAGTATAGTATACTTTATATTATAATATATGATATTTATATCTATATTTAAAATTTATAAATATAGATATAGGTATAAAACTATGTAACTTTTAATATTTATAAGCAATAATTAATATAAAACTTATAAAAACATTAATTTGATTTTTTTTTAATACTATTTATTTATTTCTTACTGTTTTACATAGACTATGTGCTGCAACATAAAATATAAAAATCGATTAATCTTAGTCTCATGGCGCTTGAATTGCTTACTATTGGTGTTTTTACGACATCTTACCGCTATCCGGGAGCCAACTCGGGCATTGTGTTGGCAAAACTACAACGTATTGTCATAAACTTACCAAAGCTGGCATGCCTATTTAAAATCGCATTGGCAACGAAGTGTTTTATCGTTCTTCAGCCGATGGCGGAAAGGCAACACAAATTAGCATGCCGGTCCTGCATCAGCTAACCGACAGCGGTAAGCCGCATTAGGAATCACAAAGGGCCAGCACCGGCTTTCTGGCGGCGGCTTTGCGCATCGCGGCCTGCTGAAAGCATGTTTGCTGGGTAGTTCCTGTTTTTTCACGAAATTTCTTGTAATTTTACATTAGGTTTTTTGAAATTTTAAAAGTGTAATTGCAGTTAAAAATATTCGAAAATAAAAAAAAGTATAACAAATAACTCAGAAACAATGACTTGAAATTAAAGTTTTAAATTTTACACACACACAAATATTTTGAAGTGTGTAAAAACTTTTGTTTTCACAGATTAACTGTTTAACATTATTATTTTGTATTGGTAATCAATAAAATGCTAAAAATGTTTGTGTTACATATATCTTGCTAAATATGTACGCATCTTTAGAATGAAGTTGTACATACTACAGTGGAAAACAATAATAGTAAGTAATTTAATTAATTTCATCTACTCTAAATGCAAAATGTACATTAGTAACTGTTATACTTAACAAAATAAGTAAGAATAAACTTTTTACAAGTGTAAATAAGAAAAGGCAAAGTTATTAATTCATATTGTTAATAATTATAATTATTATTAATATTAACATATATTAATATACGTCATCTAATTAAAAAATTGGGATTTTTCATTTAATTTTAAAAGAAAGAAATGTAATCTGGTGGAGGAAGAAAGAAGGGTTTTAAAGGTAAAAAACTAGTTAGAAAACTGGTTAACAGTTTTAAGACTAACCCAAGCCTTTCACTGAGGGAGCGCGCAAACATTTATGGACTTTCTCATAGTTTTGTTGTAAAAGTTCGAAATAAACATGGTTTTCATTCTTTCAAAGCACAAAAAGTGCCCAACCGATCTAAAACTCAATAAAAAAACGATGATGAAACTTATATCAAGTACGATCATCAGCAAATTCCTGGAGCCGTCTATTATATTGCCAAATATAGAGGAAAAGCAGTTAAGAAATTTAACTACATAAAACACGACAAGTTTGCTAAAAAAGTCTTGATTTGGCAAGCTATTTGCAGTTGTGGCAAAAAATAAGCACCTTATATTTCTCAGTCCACAGTTTCAGGTCAAATATATGTTAAAGAGTGTTTATAAAAATGCCTTTTACCTCTCATTAAATCACACGATAAGAGACCTGTGTAAACTAGCTTTGTAATGGTATAAAAATAAAAATGTGAAATTTGAGCCTAAAACTGAAAATCCTCTAAACTGACCAGAATTAAGAGTCATTGAAAAGTACTGGGCCATCATTAAAAGAAAAATGAAAAAAACAAAAAAACTTTGCAGAAATATTAAAGATATTAAAATGTAATTTAAAAAAGCATCAAATGGCTTCAATTCTTATTTTGTGCACAAACTTATGGGTACCACCAAAGCAAAAGCTAGAAATTTTATTAGATTCCCACAGGAATAATTTAATTTTATTTTTATATTTGATATTCTTATATTATTGTATTAAAGTTATTACTTGGTTAGAATTAAAAATTGAAGAGTACTTTTTTTTAGTTATTTTTTCTACTTTCAAATTTATTTTGTGTACACGCTTCGACAACAGTTAAAGAGAAATTTTTGACTAACGCTCTTTTAAGCTTAACGGAGAGATGAGAATATGGCGTCTACATAGTAAATAAATATCACTTAATCGTAATAAAAGTTGTTTATTGTCATAAATCAGCTTTATTTTTTATAAAACGCCATAATCTTTGGTGCGCTATATACACCGTATACGCTGTAAACATCTTTACAAAAAATCTTTGATACTATGATACACTGTAGCGGAAATAATTTATTTAAAAAAAGGAGGTTTTCAACTTCACTTCAAAAAAAATGTAACTCAACTTTTAATAGAAATTAATACAAAAAATAAATACTAATAATAAGGTATACATGTAACACATACATATATATCACGTTTGCAACTGATTTTTATGTGTATTACACGTCTAGAAATAAGATACTCGATGACAAGTAATAACAATCAACAAGAAACTTTATTTATCAATCGTACACTAATCTCATTTTCATCATGTTAATTCACAAAGGTTATTTTGTAACCTGGTAGATAAACATATAATGAAACATCTTATCGCACTTCCAAAAATTAGCAGATTCATTTTTATTTATTGTATTTTTATCATAACTGGAAGAGTATAGAGATTTTTTTCTAGGATTATTTTTTAAGTATATATTATTCTTTTGTTGTATTTGATATTTATTTTATTCATGTCACGGTGGTTGTAATAACTTTTGAACGTTAAAATTTTTTACTAAATAAGAATTTTACAGATGAAATTTAGTCGGGTTTATAATGGTAGAGTATTTTTTTAAGTGAATTATTGCCACCTTCCTTAAAAATTTAGAATTATAACTTGAAACTTGTAAATTGAAACTTCCTCAACAATTATTTGGGGCTCTAATTTTATGGCAAATTTTAAATAATACATTATTTACGGCATGGCCTACTATAATTACAGTAGGCCATAGTATATAGTATATATACAGTAATTATAGTAGGCCATGTTTACGGTAAAAACGTTTACATTATAGGTTAAATGTTTAAAGAACAATCCTCTAATTTGTATACTTCATTGTAGTATACCGCAACAAAACTTATGAATAGAAATATTTTTTTTCTGCTGCAGTAGTTTCAAAAATATTTTAAAAATTCATTAGGATTGCTCTTAACGTTTCAAAATGCCAAACATTAAAAAATCTTATAAGATAATAGAGCCTGACTCTGCTTAATTTATTTTTTAAAAGAGTCAGGAATAACAGATGTTAAAGAAGAAAATGCAAAATTGAACAGAATACATAAGTTTTTTTTTTTAAATCATTTGATTTAAACAATAAAAACTTTCACAATGGTATTTTTTACTAAATGTAGAAAAGCATTTAAAAGATTTGAAGTATGAGATAAAAACATTATTAAGAGTAAACCGTATGATTTCTCAAAAGCCAAAGTTAGAATTCTTACCAAAAACCAACCACTCTGTGCTGGTGACCTCTGTAAAATTGCTCAAACTACAATTACATCAGGATCAACATCTGAAAATAGAAAGAGAATCAAGTTGGGGAGAGTAAAGATATCATCACCCGCAACATTAAAATATATAAACGGCGCAGGGTTGTCATTGGAAGAGGATTACCCCACCCACAAGAGGAGAAAATTTATCAGAAAAACTTTGCAAAGGTAGAGCGAACCTCTTATGCTTAATTCAATATTTCAAAAATTTAGAAATTTATATAAAATATTTGAAATATAAAAACTAAAAACATGAATGTAAATTTCTTTTTGATTTTAAAATAGAGGAAGGGCCGAACTTCAATACCTAAAAGAATCAAAAAGAAAATGTTAGTAGGAAGGAACTAAAATCAAAAACAATCGCTCTTCAAAAGCGTTTTTTTTAGTTCCCGAAAAAAATCCCGATTTCGGAAAGATATAGATTTAAAAACACTTGTAGAATAAGTAATACCTAGGGAGCCAAAGTTCTTAGCAATATTTAGAAGCTGGAAGGAAAGAGACTTACTTGAAAGCAATGTAAAAGAGATATTAGGTTTCTAAATGATTATTTTGATGTTAAAGAAATAATTTTGCAAAAAGATTCGAGACGATAGTTTTATCATAAAACCATTAAAAGACTTGTTGAGACAGTAACGAAGGAATAGTCAAAAGATTACATCCTAAACGTGAGCATTGACGTAGGAGACGGGTTTTAAGAGTTTGTTTAGATATTATAAAAAATGTGACAGAATGTAACTTCAAAAAAATATTAGCTATTAGGAAAGAATAGTAAATACAAAGGTAGTGGCGTAAAAAAATTGTTTATATTTGGCTTAACAGAAAACGTGGCTGAATCTCATTCACATTTTAAGAAAATTATCACTATTATAAAGTTAAATGATTTAAAATACTTTGTGCTTTTGATATAAAATCGGCCAATATATGTTTTGGAAATGAAAATGCAGCATCAATACATTCATGCCCTTGGTGTAACATCAGCAAAGAAAAATTGCAAAATTTTGAAAATCACAGTGAGCTTAGTATTCTTGGAAGTATTCTTTTATTAGCTAAAGCTTAGAAAGCCGGCTGAGAAGATTTAAAAAAAATAATCCAAACTTTCAGCTGCACCTTAAGTTAATTGCGTTAACCTTCTTCTGTTTGGTCTGTCTAATGACGTAAAAGTTATTAAAGTCCTAGCTCCAATGGAACTTCATCTACATTGTGAAAGTTCATACAGTACTTATGATATCCTTGAAAAACATTTGCAATCTATGGAACCAAATTTAAATTAATCAATTTGAAGGTGGAGAATATTTAAAACAGATAAAAAATATTAATGTGTTACTAGAATTAAAGATATCTTCTAAAATCAAAAAAGATTTTAAAAGATACCATTTCTATATTTAATGAATATAACATTTTTATATTTAATTCCTTTAAATGTTTAAAACCTGTAAAAGTTAGATGACTTGGTTCTAGTTTGTTACCTGAATATGAGTCAGCATTACCAAGTACAAAGATACTTATGTAAAATTTGGTCTACGGGTGTCACAAAAATGCATATTCTTATCAAGTATACATGTGAATTTTTTTTACTTATGTCAACTTCCAATCCAAATAAAGGATTGACTTTTTAGTCTGAACAGGCCTCTGAATCTAGTCATTATAATTTTAAACAGTTTTGGAAGAGTGGATGCAAAGTTTCTAGTAGCCTTAAATACAACTCGGAAAGCCTGATTAAAGCCTGCTTAGAACTCGCAACATACCTTTATTAAATAGTTTTACTTTAAAACTAAATATATTGTAATATATATGTGTATCTTTTGGAAACTTTTTTTGAGTTTATATGAAAATAAATTAAATGTAAACATTAATTTGTGCCCTTTAAACCATCATCTAATTGAAAAAACATTTAAATATTTACCAATAGATCATTTTCAAGATTTTTTTATTTTTTATGATATGTTATCTCGAAATAAGTAATTTCACACTAACACAAATATATGTTAAAAGAAATCATAGTGATCAGAGTTTGGAAATATTATCATCCTCAAATGCTGCAAGGTCTAAATATTCTAAATATTAAAATAAGTTCTAAATATTTGTTAAGGATGGGAACTATAATAGCTATTAAAAAATATTTACCACTCTGAATGCGACTAAAAGTCATGTCCAGAACTCTCATTTAGTTAAAAATTATTTTAACGTTCAAAAGTTATGACCTCGTAAAGTTAAAACCCCCCTCAAATAAAGGGGATTTCAAACTTTTTTTGGTCGCCGTTTTTTAACAATAAGAAATTTTTTTTTGGTAAATTAATTTTTCTAATAAATTTCAATCTATTTTAAAATACTACATAAACAAAAAATTTTTTTTTTCTTTTTTCTCACATTTGGGACAACGGTCCTAATTTTTCAGGTGTATATTGTTCCATACTCCTACTACTGTATTTTTTTGTAAAAAATTCTTATTTGATACTAATTAAGTATCAAGTACTTTTATTACATTTGTTGCATTAATTTAATGAGCAGCCATGGCGGTGTGATGAAAGTGTATTCCTTTTTTTAGAAAAAAATTAGTTCTTTTGGAAAGAATATTATATAAGTATACATATGAGTATTTCACAATTTATTTGAGTGCATAATACACAAATAAGGGTAAAAGTTGATCTAACTGTTAGTTATTAATAATGAATAGTGACTTATAGTTATTAATTTATAGATAACTATGATGCTTGTGCAGTTGGCTGGGTATATAATGAAAATAAATGCTACAAATTTAACAGTATGACAAATAATTATCTTGGTGAAAATTGGAATAAATCTTTATTATTATGTCAAAGTGTTGGAGGAGATTTGTTAAGCATAGCTGACGAAACAGAAAATTCATTCATTGTTGATCAGATTAGAAATAGGATTATAAAATGGCAGCGTTACTGGATTGGTATATTTTTTCGTTAATATTTTATTTTTAATCTGAATACTTGATTTTGAAGTTTAGCATATTTAATAAGTTTATTAATAGTTTATATTAATAATGCATAGTTTAGCATATTTAATAAGTTTTTAATCTGACTCAAAATTATTTCAATTTTTTTTCTTTTGTTTAAAAAGGTCTTAATGATATTAAAAAAGAAAACACGTTTCTGTGGTCTGATAATACAACTTCACAGTTTACTAGCTGGAAAAATGGTAACCCTAACAATCAAAGTAACAAAGACTGTGTAGTAATAACAGATGGAGGTTGGGAAGATGTTTCTTGTGATAGTCTTTTTGGATTTATTTGCAAAATAAATAACGGTAGTTTATGTTTTTTTTATTTTTTATTTTTTTAAAAGTGATTGTTTAAATAATGACCAAAAACTGTTAGACGATCAAAAAATTTATTACATGAACTAATATGGGTAGTTAATTTTGAGCAATATTAACAGATTAATCTGTTATTGTTGCACAAAAGTAACTATTTAGCCTATTAATATGTAAAAAGTTACTTGGACCCCGCTTATATTACCCATCTAAAATTATGGGTTTATATTATATTGTTTAAGAAATCTGATGACAGCTACCATTATTAGTTTAATATTAAACATTTTATTCGTAACTATTTAAAGAGTAAAATATTTAGCTCTTTCAAACACAAGCGTGTTTAATTGTACATTAGATGTATGCGGGAAAGTTACAAAACAAAACCAAGCCAAGTAAAAAATTGAAAGGATCCTTAATTGCTACATAATATTGAAATAAAGGTAAAGATACTTAAATAAAATAACTTAAAAATATTAACAATTATGATAAAACTTTTATCTGACACTGTTACAACTTTAAAAAGTGATTTTTTAAAATTTTTATCAAACTGGAGATCACTGCAACTGAAACTAGAGTTAATCAATCTATCAACTGAATGTGGTTAGTTACTCACTTTTTTTGAGATGAAGCCACATCCAAAAAAGACCCAAGTGCCAAATTACTTTTTCCCTCATTAAACGTCCGCAATTTAAATTCCTTTGAAAATCCCAAACAAAGAAGATGACAGTAAATAAGTATTTTAAAGTGATACTACAGTATTACTTTTTAATACGTATATTTATTTTTTTAGTCAGAAAGATCATTATAAAAATTCTTATAATAATACCATTTATTATACCCAAACTCTTAATTAATAAGACTAACAGTAAAATATCCGCAAATTGTTTAGACGTGAATATTGATGAAAACTTTTCATGAGAACTTCATACTAACTTTATAAAAAAAAAATCTCAAAAATATTGCCATGATGTAAAGAGTTCTTACTTCTTAAGTTTTACTTCTTCTAAATTTAAAAAATTTGACAATTCTTTTTTTAAAAAGGTTGTATTTATTTTAAATGTGTAATTACATAACTTACGGCTACATTGTGTGCGAAAGCTAAAATGAATTATTGCAAACAAAAACATTTGTGAATCTCTTTTCCATATACATGGTGCTTAAAATATTTTTAAACTTAACGTCAATCTTGTTTTCCAGCTCGTGAATAATACAAAAATTGGAATGCGCCGTAATTCATTGAAACTTATTTTAAAGAAATAAAACATAATTATACAACAAGGTTTTTAGTATTTCATGGAGCCAAAAATTTCTTAAAAAAAATACTTTTTGACTTATTATTTGTAGAATAAAAATTGAAGCTGAAAAATAAATATATTTATTAAAAAGTGTTCAGAATTTACTATGTGCTTCCTCAGCTTTAATTATAGCTTCAAGTCATCTCAAGGGGAGATCCAGGTAGCCATAACTCTTGTAATGTAGTGAACCAAAATACTGGAACATGACATTGTTTTTTTAGTAGTGGGCATTGATTCAGGGCTTAACATGGTTCTCCAAGATTCGAATATTCCAATTGGTGTCAACTTTCTGACCAGATTTGATGGAGACCGAAGATATTTTGAGACCATCAAAGAAAACCAGGCAAAATATCAAAAAGTAAACATGATGTTTAATGTTGAACAAATACTTTACTTGCTTTGGTACTACCTAGACTGGTTAATGACTAATAAAATGATTGGTCCTACTCTTTTACACAGAATCAGCAGCAAACATGTTCTCATATAGAGAAGAGAATGCCCCTTAGTCTCTTTATCAAAACTTGACTTTGCCTTAAGATCGTTTCAGACCACCCTTTTGAAATTTAAATTTTTTTTTCAATCGCATCTTTTTTTTTTAACTTAATTTTTTATATAAATTAGAAGATAATATATTGTTTTATATAGGTTTTAATACATAATGTAAGAAGTACAAAATACATTTTAAATACATAATGTAAGAAGTAGTAATTGCTAATCTGATTAGATTTTCTACAATAGCAAAAAAACAAATAAATATTATACACATACACATACTATTCTTAGAGAGAGGTAATAAAATATCATTAATAATCTTTATTATATGGATTTCGATAACAAATTTTTATTTTAATTTATCTTAATTTTTATATTTGAGTTTAACTTAATTTAGTAGAAACATAAAAAATCAAGCATAGTTTAATCCATAAATATGAAGTCCTGTATAGGTTCCTTTTTAAATAGATCTAGAGAGGTTTTCTTTCTATTAACTGTCTGAGAATGTTTTCCATAGATATGGTCCACGATATTTAATTGAGTATGAGCTCAATTTCAAACTATATTTTTTGAACAACGAAATTATTTTTTTACAGAATCAACGAAATTATTTTTTTACAGAATCTTGTAGTGTATTTACGACAGATTTCACTAAAATAGGATTCAAATATTTTTGGTGACAATCCAAACTTAGGATTGTCTATACATAAAGACTAAAACTTGATGTAAATTGATTATATATATATATATATATATATATATATATATATATATATATATATATATATATATATATATATATATATATATATGTATAAATATATATATATATATATAAATATATATATAATATATATATATTTATATATTTATATATATATATATTTATATATATATATATATATATATATATATATATATATATATATATATATATATATATATATATATATATGTATATTTAATGCTCCAAGTAAACCGAGGAGAGACTTGTATGATTTTTTTTTCTTTGCACTAAATACAAAATGACATGCATGTTTTTGTTTATTGTAAAGTAAACATTTTGGCTCTGCAAATCAAGTTTGCAGAGCCAAAATTTTTTCCAGAAAAACTAAAGAAATTGCACAAAAAAGTCAAGATAATGATAAAATAGGAGGGATTCGTTAGATAGATTAAATGTAAAATTTTCAAATTTCTTGTGGTATATTTGTTCCAAAAATATAGTTCAAGAGACTTTTTATCTCAGGTAGCTGGCCATTAGCGTTTTCTGCATACACAACTTTTGAGATAATTGTGTCAAATTTTTTTTGTATCATGAAGGGGTTCGTGCGAAAGACCTGATGAGGTTTTCTCCTTTCTATTAAAGTATATAGGATCTTTGTGCACCAACGTAGAAGAGTTGCATTTGTTTTCTGACAAATGCGGGACCAAAATAAAAATCACACCCTTATTAGGCAATGTTCTGCACTAGTATCAATAAACAAGGTTAAGAGCATTGACCAATATTTTCATGTGAAAGGTCAGACTTTCCTCTTTGTGATTTGAACTTTTCTGTCTTGAAAAGATAAATCCGGAAAACTGATGCATTTATACCTTAAAAGAGTATAATGATCTGATTCTATTATCCTCTAAAAAAAATACATTTTCTGTTATCGTCGCAAAAAACGCTGACATTGATAATTTTAAGAACTGGTAGCCTCAATTTTATATAAAAAAAATGTTATCCGATGAAACAGCTGGTCGTAATGTGTCCAGGAATAAAAAAGTTACATTCAAAATTATCACTTTTATGCATATAAGCCACAAAACTGAAACAATGGAGAAAATACATTGATAAACTTCAGTTCCAAATATTTTCTTTTAGAAATTCCAATCGTACAGCGCTGCCTTATCCTACAGCCAAACTTATCCCAATCAACACTAAGAAGAGGTGGTCCAGAGTTTGAGCCACTGTAGTTTAAACATTACCTAACAAATTTTTATCACAAAATGAACACTATTTGATCTGTAAAAAGTTTCTTTCATGGTAACAAAAGTATCATACTATACATAAACTTGAGTTTTTAAAACTGAGTTCTTGATTTTTGTCTTTATTTCTACAAATCCGTACCTGAAAATTACTTTTTCTTGGTTTTTATGTTAATTTCAGAAACATAAGTCCATTAAATAAAAAACCCCTGAAAAGATGTAAAGTAACTTTTTTTTCAAAATTTTAATAAAACTTTGTTTTCGTTAGTATTAAGTATATTAGGTAGTTTTCTGAGATCCATTAACACTTTTTATGGAAAATTAAAATGTTCTTTTTCATTTCTCAAAAGTTGCTTTTTGTGACTTAAGGCTTTTTTGAAATGACCCGTTCAACTGTACATTAACTCTTAAAAAGATGTTTATTTTCAAAATAATTGAAAAAATTTAGTATCAGAAAAAAACCAATATACTCTGCTAGCATAGTTCGATATGCATTATTATTGCGTTATACATCTATGCTTTACCATTTTCGTTACCATTTCGATTACAATTTCGATTAACATTTCCATTACCATTTCCATTACCATTTCTATTACCATTTCCATTACCACTTCCATTACCATTTCCATTACCATTCCCATTACCATTTCCATTACCATTTCGATTACCATTTCCATAACCATTTCCATTAACATTTCCATTACCATTTCCATTACCATTTCCATTACCATTTCCATTACCATTTCCATTACCATTTCCATTACCATTTCCATTACCATTTCCATTACCATTTCCATTACCATTTCCATTACCATTACTTTATTTATTAAATAAAATTCCTTCTGGTAATATTGATGCACTAAAAGCTGCAAAACTGTTCTTGAAAAAGGCAAAACATAACAAGATGTCTGCATAATATTTGAATATTTAGCTTAATAGTGGGTTTGCCGTGCGAGCTATTGTATATGATAATCATGTTAGTAATATTCCTGCGTCTAACAAATTGTTATCAGAATATGAAAATATAAAGTAAGATTTTTAATGTTATACAGCTGCATAAAAGTGTATTTATTCTATAATGCTGTACATTTAATTCAAAGTGTAAGAAAAACTTACTAAATCAAAAGAGTTTTTTGTTTCCCCCTTAATTGTTAATTGGATTTTATTGGGTTTAAAAATAATATAACAGTTAAAGGTGGAGAAGTGTCATGGAAACTGTTTCATGACGTCTATGAAAAAGATCTTCCTTTGATGCATAACTACGTAAAGTTCCAACTCTAGCAAATAAAGTGCTAGAAAGTTTAAACAAAATGTTCAAGTTCAAAAAAAAATTTAAACAAAATGTTCTAGTTCAAAATAACAAAATTTAAACAAAATGCTCAAGTTGCTCTTGACTTGTCTAATGAAAGTACAATAGCTGATTTAAAATCGTACTTTAATTTGCGTGAGGATGCTGTTGGCTTTTTAGACTTGTTTAATAAATGGTGGGTTATTACTAAAAAAAAAACAGTTTTTTTAAAATAACTATTTAGCAAGTGTTGCTAACTTGAATGATAAAAAACCTGAATTTTTTTTAATATTTTAAAATTTTATTTTTTTGAACTTGAACATTTTGTTTAAGTTTTGTTTTTTTGAAGTTGAACATTTTGTTTAAATATTTTTTGAACTTGAACATTTATTTAAATTTTTTTTTGAACTTGAACATTTTGTTTAAATTTCCTAGCACTTTATTTGTTAGAAACTTGTTATGTATGCTCTAACTGCTCAGCATTTAAACAAACACTTAGTTGTCATGCCTCTTAAATTAAAGTGATTCAATAGAGAGAAGGTTTGGATTTTACCTACAGATGAGTGGTGGCGGGTATTTGGTGAGCCTAAAAGATGCTTTGTGCTTAGAGCATATTTTTAATTTCAAAAGTTTAAAGAAGTTAAAAAAGGCATTGATATAAGCAACAATATCAAAAAGACTAATGATCAAAAAAATATTTTAAACAAACTTTTGTACGAACTTCAGTGTACTTTTTTAAATGATGTGTCTTTGTCAGAAAATAGCAGAGAAGTTCCCTTTCAAACTCCAGGTTATAATGCTAAAAAAGTTTCAAGAAGATTTGGTAAAAGCTGTCATAAACTAATGATCAATTCTCCAGATAAACAACATATTGAAATTCTATCAAGGGGAGGATTGACTATACCATCTACAAATCTAGGTTATTATGCCTGTGATGGTTTTGCAATTTTAGACTTTACTTTTGATGTAATTAACAATACTGATTTACCATTCAGAACTTTGTTTTGTTTTAATCACCTAAAACTTGGGATAAATCTCATAAACAAAACAATAAGTTAAATTTCAATAATATACGAAAAATAATTACTGATGGAAATTATATGAACAATATAATTGGTTTTTAAAAAAGGCAACGAATTATGCAAGATAGAACATAAATAAAAAAATTAACAAGAGAATATGTTTTTAATAAATTTAATATAAACATCATTTCTTTTTATTTCGAAATTTTATCAATCTTAAATAAAAAAATATTTTTAAGAATAAATGCAAAATTCCATTATGTTTTATTACTGCAAAAATGAATGCAAGAAATTACGAAGATTATTTAGAAAAGGTTTAATCAAGTTTAGTGAAGGTTTACTTACTGAGATTCACACGGCGCGAAGTGCAAAACAGTGGTCTCATTTGAAAACTTGTAAGGAAAATTAGCACAAACTATATATGGTAATTCTTGACAATATAACAGATAGAAGGACTTAAAACTTCTAACCAACAAGCATGAAGCGGTAACTCAAAGGTTTGTTTGAAAAATGTTTTAAGAGGTATGAAAAACCAAATCTACTAATTAATTAGAGTATAAGATAAATGTGTACTCCACATTATTAAAATCTAAAGAAATTATTATTTAAAACAAAAATTATATAAATAGGTTTAATTAAGTCTATGTTAAATGAGGATGTTTTGCTAAAAATTGCAATAACGGAGGCCTAGGAACCAAAATACCCCAAAATGGAATATCTCCCCTGTCCAAACGTGAGGGCACTGATGTAGAAAAATTTTCAATTTTACTATCTTAAGTAAATTTAAATTTATCGACAAATTTTATATTATTTTCAAAAATATTGTAGAGTAAAAAAATAATGACCATGCAAAATTTCCGATGCTCTCAAATTGAGAGGGTTATAAATTTTGCATAGTCAAAATATTGAAACATTTCAATATTTACGAATGAAATTTAAGATCTGCCAAAAGATTTAAACTTGCCATAAAATTGTAAAGTTAAAAAATTTACTACTTTAATGGCCTCACATTTTGTAATGGAGGCAAACATTTTGGGGCATTTTTATTCCATGTATTTCATTATTGACAAATTTGGTAAAACATTCTCATTCGGCATAAGCATAAACATTGTTTTATGAATCGAAAAGCTATTGTTTAAAAATATATTTTTTTAATTTTTTTTTACAAGTTTTATAATTGTTATACTCCATTATGTTTTTAATAAATTAGCTCTAATTTTAAAATTTTGTATTAAATGTTTGCGCATAAACCTTTAAAATTGTATGCAGACGAATAGACTAATGGAGTTCACAGTAGGTCTAGCTCACATTTAACCTAAATTAAAAAGATTTTAGATACTCTCAAGCTAAACTTGTTCCTTTTTAAAAAAGCCTGATCTGAAACGTTTTTAGGAGTTTAAACTTAATTTAAATTTTTAAATTTAGGAGTTAGTAATTTGAATTAGAAAAATGCGAAAAAATAGAATCTCTGGCTATAAAAGTCTCTGAACCTATCAAGAAAAATAAAAATAAAGCTAAAAATAAAAAACACATAATTAACATTAAAAAACTTATTTTTAGAAAGTGGTGTTTGTGATGTTGGTTGGTTACAAAATGGAAGCTATTGTTACCTATTCTACAGCGTAAATGACACATTTATTGGGAAAAGTTGGAATGATTCTCTTTCAATATGCTTAAGCTTTGGAGGAAATTTGTTAAGTATTGAAAATAAAACAGAAAATGAGTTCATAGTAGAAAAAATTATTCAATATGTAAAACAATGGAAAAATTACTGGATTGGTATGATTGAAAATCTTTACACACACACACACACACACACACACACACACACACACACACACACACACACACACACACACACACACACACATACATAAACACACATACTGGCTGCCAAAGCCCCTCTAATTACTGTTTCAGCCCCCTAAAATTTCTTGATCGTCCTACGCCACTGTATATATATGTATATACATATATATATATATATATATATATATATATATATATATATATATATATATATATATATATATATATATATATATATATATATATATATATATAAATATACATATATATATACATATGTATTTATACATATATATATATATTATATATATATATATATATATATATATATATATATATATATATATATATACATATGTATATATAAATGTATATATACATATATATATATATTATATATATATATGTATATATACATATGTATATATATATGTATATTTATATATATATATATATATATATATATATATATATATATATATATATATGTATATATATATATATATATATGCATATGTATATATACATATACATATATATATATTTATATATATATATATATATCTATATATATATATGTATATATATATATATATATATATATATATATATATATATATATATATATATATAAATAAATATATACATATATATAAAAATAATATATGTCATTGTATATTGATTGTCTTTTTAACCTTTGTAATAGATTTTATCTATTAGAAAGGGTTAAAAAGACCACCAAAATGATAGAGAATATCAATAAGAAAAGCATTTTTTGATTTCAATTTTAGCTGCATGTAAAATTCCATTTTATTTTTTAAATTAAAGTTTTACACATTCCTTATTATTGTGTAGCTTAGCATATGCCTTCTGAAGAGAAACTACAAAGGTGAAACGTTTAGAACGGTTTAGCCAAGTATAATGATAGCACCAGGGTGTGTTCCGGGATTAGACACTGTCATTATTCAACAATAAGCTAATACTTTATCTATGTCAAACAGGGCCGGCGCGAGTAGGTGTCACGAGGGGAGGGCGGGGTGCCATTACAACTCTTGCTAACTAAAAAAAAAAAGGCCCTCATTTTTTTAAGTTTTTCCTACTGCCTTAACGACATTTTCCAACTAACTGTCTAAGTTTACCGACTAAGTTGTCGAAAGGGTCTACATTTACCGACTAAATAGTCAAAAAGGGTCAAATTTGCTGACTAAATGAACAAAAAAATTATTAAAGGGGGCCGGGGGTCACACTTCTACCGCACTAGCCTTAATTTTAAACTGTTCTAGAAGATTCAAAATGGATTTAATCTGGTAAAGACTAGACTAAAGCCATTTTTAATTATTTAAATATTAATTTTTTGAGTCACATTAGTCTGGATACGGTAAACCAGTATGAAAAACAACATCAAATTTAACATCACTTTATATATTTTTATATGTTGGTTTTTGCTTGATGTTGGTGCCATCATTTTTGCCAGTGTTTCTGGTTGCAGTGTCAAAACATATACTATTGCATTAACAAATAACAAATCTTATTTTTCAAAAAAATTTAAACGAAATTCGTCCTGTGCTATACATACTAAAATATAACTTTAACTTCATCAATGTTTCTACTTTTATTTCATCTGTAGATTTTCGATTGTCTTCTCTCTGTAGTGAGCTACTCAATACTTTTCTTAGTTTTCTTGGCTTTTGGATACTTTGTTCTTTATGATTGTATTTTTAATATTATTTTATATATTTTTTTCGATTGACTACTTTTTTTCTAACACTTTTAGGTTGCTCTATACACAAAAGATTTATTTAAATTAATATTTGCGTTTACAACAACATTTATGCATAAATATTACAGGCTTCTCAAAAAACATTTTTTGAAAGGGCTGTAAAATCTTTTTAAAGTTTTTACTTAAATTTCGGATCATATCTTATTTACTTGTACTTAGTTCATTTTGGTAAATACAGTTTCTAAACCAATGCCAAAACCAAAAGAATGTTAGCTTCTCTAAAGAAGAATGTATAAAATCAGCTTCTAGAGTTGGATCTCTATATAAAGTAGCGTTTTCACAAGTAAAACGTTATTAGCAATAAATAAGCTCCATGGTTTTCTTTTGCTTTTTTTTTTTTTCTCAGACAACCAATCCCTTAATCTAAACTGTATTTTATGCATTGTCTTTTATCTTTTAGTTGTTGATCGTTAATAAACTCCGTTATTACACTTTTATAATAAAAAACAATTTAAAAATAAGAACTGACAACAATAAAAGAAAAAAATTAACGTAAAAATAACTGTAGCACTTGATTATTCTTATAAATTAAAATTCACTTATAGATTTTAATTTAACTTTTTAACTGTTATTTTTTGACTACGGCAAATCCTAGCCTTGCTGAATTCGACAATATTTCTTTACTAAGTATTCATTTTTAACTTAAAAACAACGCAAAAGGTTGTTTGTTTTAAATAAAAACGAATGGTAGAGAGAGATTGGCCTGCCTTCTTAAAGTATTACTTGTCCTCATTGTGATTTACCATGCAATCAACAACAATACGAAAATCAAGATTTTCTTACTGGAATTACAACAAACAGAGTTAAAGCAATGCGAAGAAGTAAATCAAAATTTAAAGCAATGATTGGATCCTCTAAACAAAAAATTACTCCTGATTACATATTTTAAACTTTACATATTAAACTATAACTGTATAAACAAAACTTTATGTACAAAGTTGTTTGCACTAAAAAAAGTTCAATAACCCGTGCTTGTTATAATTCAAGATAAGGTCAAATTTATGTTGTGTAAAAAGTGCGCAAAAGATTAAATCACGACTTCAACATGCCTATTTTTTAGGCGCCCTGATGCACAATTTAAAATTGAGGGCGCTGCTTCTACCGCTGCTCTGAATCAAGCTCCAATAATATATCATTTGAGCAAGACTGTTTGGCAGGTCATTAACAAAAAATACAAACATTAGAAAACCGAATACTGATTCCTGTGGTACGTCACTAATGTCGTATTTCCATTCTGACTTATTCGGTTCGTTGTTTTTATCCTATAGGCCAAAATTTGATCCAAGCTTATAGTTTAAATTAAATTCCATATGCACTTAGTTTTTGAAGACAGCTTCAGTTAGAATTTTACGGTATTAAAGGAGGTTTGATAGAAAACCTTTATACCGAACAAAGCCATGCTGAGAGTTATTTATAAATCTTTTAGGTAATTTCATAACAATACTGTTAATAAAACTCTCCATAATATTTTAGAGCATTGCCGTTAACAATAGTGGTCTATAATTCCACGCTTTGAGTTTACTACCCTTTTTGAATATTGGTGTCACATTTAATTTCTTCCACTGTTCAGGCAAAACTCCGATTGTTATTGAACACTTGAATAATAAAGCCACTATACGCACAGAGATGAATGCCGTCTATACTCATTAGTTTAGTTTCATTTTAGATCCTTAGATCTTGCTCCCACTTAATTATAAAAGATATCACCTTCTCTAAAAACATATACTTAATCTGTACGGTTATTAAAGACTGGCATGTCACCTGGTGGTTTGATAGCTAATTGTGACTCAAACTAATTATTAAATGCTGAACATATTGTTTGTTGATTCACTGTTGTGATTCACTTGTTGATTCACTGTTTCATTATTGTGATTCACTTGTGATTCACTGAATCACTGTTGTGATTCACTTGTTGATTCACTGTTGTGATTCACTTGTTGATTCACATGTTGTTGATTCACTTGTTGATTCACTGTTGATTTGCTGTTTCGAGTGTTTTTACTTGAATGTTTACATGCTGTTTACTACGAAACTACGAAAATGTATCAACACAATGAATCAAGATTAATATGGAGTATAGCGGACTACTAGCGATTTTCGACACACATCTAACTTGCAAGCCACGTTTGATGGTTTTTCTGAAAACGAAAACTACGAGCTTCTTTTCTCAAAATACTTTAATGCGATTAACACTTTTTTAAAATGAATAAAGTAAGTTTATACTTCAAAAATGAGCTTTTAATTGAGATTAACGATTTACTTTTGTATTTCCAAAAGGAGTGGGAAAAGGGTTGGGGATCACCCCACCCTATCAGAGCAAATTTGGCTTAAAAAAGAAATAAAAATTTATAATATTCTTGCAAAATTTTTCAAAAAGTGCAAACGTTAGTTTGGTTTTGAGTTAAAAGTGATGGAAACATTGTAAAAAATATCTCTATATAACTACACATAAGCCTTGGATAATTTTCAAGACAATATCATAGTTTATAATATTTTAAAAATTTCTCTATATCTTTAAAGAATCTTGCGTCAATTTCAAGACTGTATCAGTAGTTTATAGTATTTTACTTTGTTTTATTATCAAAATAACTCAAAAAAAAGTTAATCAATTTTTTTAACTTGACGCTGCTCATCATACTTTTTTCTATTTATAAATAGGGTAAAACGGGGTAAGATGGATTTTTATATATAAAACTCAACAAAAAAAACTAAAAATGGACGGAAACAAAAATTGTTTTAAAATATTATTCTAAATAATTTTTTTAAATAGTGTTTATATGATTTTGTAGCCAAATTTTTTTCTTTACGCTTCAACAATTGTAAAATTAAAATTAAGTAACTTTTTTAGTCATATTTTTTTGCAACGCATGTAGTTAAAAACTTTCTAAATATGCTATCAAAAAGTTTTCTTACCATATTATTATTCTGATTATAAATACTCTATCTAAAGTATTTCAGAGTTCGTAAAGTATTTTGTAATACTTTAATTAGAGTAGTAATAAATATCTGAAATTTTAAAAATTTGAAGTTTTATTAAATTGAAATGAGAATAAAATGACGGATAACAATCTGTCAAACCAGACAAATTTATAAACTTTACAATTTACCCTCTAACTTATGTCCTAAACATTTTTGTTACATCCAAGTAACAAGAACGTAGGGTATTAAGCTCTTGAATGCTTAAATGTTA